GGCCATTCCCTCAAATGGGGGAATGCCATTTCAGCAAGAATGAGAATGGAATTCTGATTCTACCTAACCAAATAGTTGGAATGGGAATAGCCCATTTCAATTCCGATTCCAAACCCCTATTCCTACGAACCAAAGAGGGCCTAAATGAAAATAACATGGATTTAAGATGTACATATTTTCAGTATTCTCCTTATAACTAGAATTATAGTCCTCTGTCTCTCTGCAGAAAATGAGAAAGCTACCTTTCTTACTCGTTTATGTTAAGAGGTTTACAAGAACTGAGTTTTGGCTTTTCATAACTATAAGAAAATTACATTTCTCTGTCTCTCTGTCTTATGCATAACTATAAAGTAATGACGTTTCTCGGCTATGTGTAAGTAAAATAATATCATTAGGGTATTAACTGTGATATGAAACTGAACGAAATTTCATCCGTTGATCATTTTCCAAGGAACACGAATATTGTTAAGTTCCAAAAAATGTTGTTTTGTTGTTCACTAACCAAATATGCTTTTCACATGGTAGGGATTTGACCAATAATATTTTTGATTCATAAGATATTCTCTCAATGGTTTTCAACAATAAAACATTAGGAATAATCGGCAGAAAAGGAATTTTTTTAACCATGAAGGTGTAGACCTGTTCATGGCCGGGCTGGCCCGGGTTTGGGCCAGGCTTTGCCTATGTATCAATAGAATACATTTAGGTCTGAGCCCGAGCCTGGATCTTGTATAAAGCCTGAAGCCCGAGCCCATTCAAAAATTTGAAAATAGATTTTTTTTTCTTTTTTATTTAATAAAAAATGTTTTTTTATATATATTAAAAGTCCTCAAAACTCAAAAATAATAAAAAATCTCACTATTACTTTAAAAAGGAGAAGAGAAACACAAAAAAATATTGTATATATAATTTTTATTAAATAAAATTTGTATTTATTATATAACATATATTAATAAGTCGGGCTTGGGCTCGGGCTGGGCTTTGAGAAAGACCGAGCCTGGCCCAAAAAAGGTTGGGCCTAATGTTTTAGGCCCGAGCGCAAACCCGTGGGCCTAAAATAATGTCCAAGCCTGATTTAGACAATATGATGATAAAAAACATCAACCAACAATATGATGATAAAAAACACAGAAATAAACAATGAAACATGGCAATGAGGACTAAAATTACATCCAAGAAAGAGAGATGTTTAAATTGACTTAAATGTACCCTTGGTTTTTCAAAAAGGCTTAAGCCCCGTTTGGTTCACAGGAATAGGGGTCTAAAATCAGAATTGGATAGGATTATTCCGATTTCAACTATTTGGTTGGGCGAAATTGGAATACCATTCCCATTTCGGCTGGAATGACATTCTCTCATTTGAGGGAATGGCCATTCCCTGTCGACCCCTCCCTTGAGAACGAAATCTTATTCTTATTGATTTCAATTTTCATTCCCATTCCTGTCTGAACCAAACAGACTATGAGAACAGAACATTCTGGTTTCAACTGTTATGACTATTTTATTCTTTAAAAGGACTTAAATCAATTAATACCCTTGAGAAACTAAAGATACATTTAAATAAATTTATGAAAAATTAGGGTATATTTAATTCTTTTTACTCAAATACTAATGATTGAGTGTATTAAAAAGAAGACTGAATTGGGAAATAAAATATCACGTACAAGAAGATTAATCAAGATGCTGATGAAATGACCAAATAGGCTAGCAAATGTCGCTCATGTGTCTTTTGTTGTATGTTCATATCAAGGTTCAAAATTTCGTCACGTATCGGTCGATACGTACCGTATCTTAAGGCTTTTGGCACGGGGAATGGTTCAAAATCAATCGTGCCGAAGGTGTATCGACGCCGTATCAGTTAGTTTCGGTCATGTATCGGTCGATACGCAACTGATATGGTAGTGTATCGGCCGATGCACAACGATTTTACTGTTGTTAAAACACAAATAGAGGTGATTTCGAAAGAGGGTTTCTAAATCCATTTCAGAAGCCCTCTTTCTTTCCCAAACCCTCCAAAAAGCCTTTTAACCTTTTTAAAGACTCAAATCTTGTAAAAATTTGCCAAAAACATTTATAAATTTGCAAAATGCCAAGATTCAATAAGTTTTTCAAGATTGTGTAAAAAGGAGTGAAAATAAATATGTTTTTTCAATTTTTTTTACATTTTCAGCCAATGTTAGAAAAGATAAGGGGAAAGAAAGTGGTTTGCCCCCAACCCCTTTGGTTGGGGGGCAAATCCCCCTAGACCCCCCCATCCCCCTTTTTGATGTAGACCAATTTTATTTTTTAGAGTTAGGGGGTCTTGCTTCGCTTCGACAAGACCCCCCTTTTAACAAATGTTATGCATTTTTATTTTTTTAATATAAAAGATTTTTATTAAAGATAAAGAAAAAAAAATGAAATCCCCCATTCCTCCTTCTTCCTTCCTCCTCTTAAGGAAGCTTACACCTCTTGCGTTCTGAATTATGCTTCACGCCTCTAGGTAGTGGAACACCTCTATGTTTTAAAACATTGAATCATCGATATTTATTTATTTTTTTAATTTTAGTTTACTTTTAGAATAAAATATGCAAAATAATTAATTCATCTATTATGTCCATAAATCCATTCAATTTTTTGTTACATATTTACTTTTCTTAATTTTAATTTAATTTTTAGAATAAAATATGCAAAATAATTATTTGAAAAAAATAAATAATTATTTAGTTTTTAGAAAATTAGAATAAAACATGCAAAATAATTACTTGATCTATTATGTCCATAATTAGATAGTATGTTTATGTTCTCGACTTCCCATTTATTGATTATAATATATGTTTTTTTTTCATAAAACCCGCTAAAACGTGCTATTTTTATACATAAATAGCTCATTTGTGTCTTATATTTACTGATATTAATGTTTATTTATGATTTATTAGAGTATTTATAGCATTTCCATGTGTTTCCATGCATATCTTAATTTTTCGTCCATATCCATGCGTATCCAAAGTGTATCCCAATACGTCTCTTAAATTTGACTTTCCGATACACATAACGTTTCCGATACTTTGAACCTTTGTTCATATATCTGTCTATGTGTATTTCGTCTTTTGTGATGTTTAAACTTTTAGACAACTTTATTTCACTTTCTTGTCTACAAAAACTTAATTTAACTTTTAATGCCAGACCGACAGTATCTTTGTGGTTGGGGCTAAACGATTCGTTGGACGATCTGGCCGTGTAGGTGAGTAGGTGGGACTGTAATAGGATCCGATCCGATTATCAAAATTTTGGATGTGATAAAAAATTAAAAAATTGAAAAAAAACTAATTATTTTTAACTTATGCATAATGATAAATGTATATAAGCATAAAATGTTAAATTCACTAATTATTATTATTATTATTATTATTATTATTATTATTATTATTATTATTATTATTATTCGCAATGTAGCGATGCATTTATTAGGCAACCAATACTTCAAATAATGGGAGCTACAAGATTGCCGAATTATCAAATCAAAATGATTACAAGTTCTAACATAAAAAATCAAGATAATTAGATCAATGTTCAAAGTATCGACACGTATCGGCCCGTATCGGCTGATAGGTATCGTTCAGGGACCCCTCTGATATGTCCCTACAGTGGATGTATTGGAGGTCTAACTGATTCAGGGGGTAAAGGAGACCTAAACCGGCCCCCCTGAACCGGTTGCAAAAAATAAATAAACAAAAGGCCTGAAACACTGTATCGATTCGTCCAATATGCCCATACCAGCGTATTGAGCGTATCGATATTTTGAACCTTGAATTGGATGAAGCTCGAACCTCGTACTATTCGACTTGACTCGGCTCAAATCCACCCCTACAACATGAAATACTGAATTGGGTATCAACTATACCAACTGAATAGTGTCTCAATTGATACCTTAGCTGGGACAGTCCCAGCGGAGATGCAGATTCAAGTTTCACTACCTGTTACCACCTAATTAAATATAGTTATCATGATTTAAAAATTTTTAAACTCAAAATTTTTAACATACAAATACAATATATAAATACCTACATACACATTGAAGACATTGAATTGAACTAATACAGTCAAAAGTATTTATGGGATTTGGTTGGACTTGATTTATCTGTAATGGATTTATATTGAATTAGGTCAGATTGAACCAATAACCATTCCATTGAAGAAGATACAAATACAGTTATCAATGGACCAAATTTGAGTCAAAACCAATCTAAATTAAAACCAATTTGAACAGATAAACGGGGACTAAACATTAAACAGAAATAATCCAAAATTGTCCGAAGTATTCATTGGACTGGATTGGACTGGTCCATCTCTGATGGACTCGTATATAGTCCAATTAACACCCTTAATTGGCTAATTAGATTGGTCAACGCCTCAACCCAAGGATTCATACTTTTCAACCCTAACTGTAACCCCAACTCAACCCTACTTTTTGTAGCCCTACTCATAAGTGCAGTCTGGGGGATTAACAAAGCTAAATTCATCTTTAACAAATGGAACACCTGTACTTCGACATGGCTGGACTTGGAGGTAGGTAGGTAGGACCGTAGGAGTAATGTGAAAATAGGGAAAAAAGTCGATCTGAACAGTGGTTCTGATTTGTCTGACATTAGACAAGTGGAAAACATGCGGCCCACAATTTCTTCATCATTCATCCAAGTCCTGTAGCCCCATGACCCAGCATCTGCTTTTCTATCTCGAGTGGTCAAGCATGAGTCACTGATGCACCCAACCCATTACTTGCCACTTGCCACACTGTATGTGGTCTCAAGGCGTCAATTATTCAAACCGATATCAAGAAAAACACGAGGAAACAGAGAGAGAGAGAGGGAAGAGATTGCTTTGAGTTGTTGCCGGTTGACCGTCTTTAATGGTTGAAATTCCCATCAGCAGTTCAGCACCATTGATCGATCATCCAGGGGATTAAAAATTAACCCTACTTCCTTTGATGACATCTACAAAGCTAATGCGTGTTAAAAGTGTTAGTGAAAAAAAAGGAAATAAATACTCGGATTGCCAAGAATGCTGTTACACACAATGTACAAACGTCAGAACCAAAAGAAAGATGATCGGAAGATTTCTTCCAACTTGCAAAGAAATAATTTTAATTGTCATCTTGAAGCTCCACTTCCTTGGCTTTTTCCCCATTTTAGCTCAGATGCTAAACTCATTTATCAGAACCCACAGTTAAAATGTTACAGTACAGAAATCAAGGCCTGCTACTGGGTTACCTCTCATTGAGTGTTGAGTTGTTTGACTGTTGAGACTTGAGAGAGAGAGAGAGAGAGCTGCCTGACAGTTTTGCACAGGGAATGAGTAGTAGGGCCCCCATCCTCTATTACAAGTTACAACAAAGAGAACAAAAGGACCCTGGCTTCATATCATGTGGTGGCGAGTTCCACGGGCGTGGCACAAGGGGCAAGGGTGTTGGCAGGTAGACTGATCCCGCCGCCTCTTATAGACAAAGTAGGACCCTTCACCGTACTGGCTCTGCTCACAAGATTCGAGTCCAGAAACACAACGATAACAGTAGTGTCATCATGGAAATGCCGGCGGACTCCTCGATCGATTTTCTTCAAGTCTGAATATCGCATCTCTCTTTTCTTTGCTGCCTCTTGAAGCGCAGCTTTCACAAGCCTCCGAGCACTTCCCTGCATGAGTAGAGAAAGTAGAAACAAATTAAGATACACCAGGAAGCACAGGCCTCGCGTCTCATGTTTTTATCAAGCCAAAACCCAGATTCCCAGATGGGGTATGTTTTTGCCAGAGTGGTCAAAATCACCCATAAGACCTAGGCTGGCAAATTACTGCTCACAGGGATGATATGGGATGCCAAACAATTAGATGGTTGGAGAGTGAGTAAATCCCCCTGTCAAAGAGGTATAGTCTGTAACGAAGAGCATTTCTATTTTTCACTAGGACCACCTCGAATATTAACAGGCAAATTTGGGCATATTACAGACTAGACCGCATGGATTGCTAGTAAAGAATATCTAATCCCACCATCAGAATGCCCAAGATTATTGATATTATTTCATTTTCAAATGGTTACTTCCATGTTGAAGTACCAGAAGTACAGTTTATAGGCTGGTTGAAAGTACGGAAGATTTTCTGATAGGCGAGTATAGAAAAGATTTTCCTGGAAGTTTCTCGTTAGGACAGAATAAATTCATCCCCCCCCCAAATGGGTTTGGAAGTTTTCTCACCACAAAAAAAGACTTACATTGCGTGGATGATTTTGAACTATATCAACTGCTTCCTGATTGCTTAGGTGCTCCCAGAGCCCATCAGATGCAAATATAAGAAATTGATCATGTGGCTGCAGTGGGTGAACTAAAATTGATGGTTCAGAGCTGAGTATTGGACGTTTGAATGGTTCACGCAAGCGAAATTTAGCAAGTAAAGGTTCTCTATTAAATTCAGCCTTCTTCAAGTATACATCACCAATAGATCTAGAAACCTGGCATATCAAAATATTTCTGCCATCAGAAGAAGGCACATTGTGAAGATCAAAAGACCTATAAAACTACAAAAAAGAATATAAAACCTTGGAAGTAAAACTTCTGTTACAAGGATCCATGTACTCTTTTGACAGTGACATCTCTAAGAAGATTTCTGTTAAATTACCAAAACTACAGAAAATTACTAAAAAACAGCATTTGAATGTACCAAGCCCAGGGCAAGTTATACAGGTCACCTCATTTATCACCTAAAAAATTGCTCTTTAATCCATTATTTAGAAATTAACAAACTCCGTGACAAACAGGAATTATCCATAAAATGTATTAGTCATTGGAAGTGTCTAGGAACGTATAGCAATTTTTGTTCGTGAACCTGAACCATAAATGAAAAGAAGAATGGCCCACAAACTATTCATGCCTTTCAAACCTCTTGAAAGGTCTCACAAACCATTTCCCCTTAAAATGCACCACAGCAAAGTTTTGTCAATGAAGAAAACATTATCTGAAGTCATTCATCACATATCAAAGAGATGGAAGAGAAGAAAAAGGGGAATATCAAAAATGTATGAACGCCAATGAATAAAGTTCAGACAATTAGGTTTCCTGAGTAACGTTGGATAGGTGATGGGCTGAAGATTTTCTTGATAACTGGTTCACGGACACCAACATAATACTAGATTTTGATGACCTTCTGATGACATAGCAAAACCTAGCTACTATGTTTCTAGAATAGAACAGAAAACTAGAAAAGGGGAAAAATATCATTTCAAAGTACACCTAACTTTTACACGTCTGGTCAAAGATAGAAGAAAAAAGAATTAAATTAACTGGACATGGATATGCTTGAAACCTGGTAACAGGATATCAATTAAAGTGTAACATGTACCTGGTACCTAATTCAGATAAATTACTAAACTTATTATCGACCCTATATTCAAAAGTGGGCTGAATCAGCAAGAATCACCCCCACATCTCCTCCACTATTTGGAAATGAGGGGGAGTTACGGAACTTGTTCTTGAACCTGATCTGTCTGGATTGAGTGGCCCCAAGAAGCATTTTGACCTCTTAATTCAATGTAGCAATCCAAGCTCCAGAGGAAAACTCTAATAGAACTTGTTCTTGAACAGTTGAACCTGATCGGTCTGGATTGAGTGGCTCCAAGAAGCATTTTGACCTCTTAATTCAATGTAGGCAAACCAAGCTCCAGAGGAAAACTATAATGGAAGGCTATCACAGAAACTCTGCTAGGGGAATTGGGAAGAAAGGAAAGATCCTTAAAGGTAAAAAACAACCTCCTTTCAAACCTTAAGAGGTTTTATCTTATACATACCGAATTCTTGGATTCTGACTACCAAGGAATTCAAAGAAACTCAACCTCCTGTGCTGGAATTTAATAAAGATTTTGCATTCATTTCCACAGGTCCAGCAACAAAAAGATGCAAACCCCCACCCCCTTCCAGTGAAAAATCAGATTACTTTGCAACTTGATAGAAGCTCCAATTTTCACTTTGGACCATCAGGGATTGGGGATCTTTTCATCATCGTCTAAGCCACATCCCAAACATATGGGGTCGACTACAGGATTGCTAAGCAATTTCACCCACATTCATGAGGGACTCGGCTACTGGTATAAATGGGTTAACAGAGCTGGTTTCAAGTCCATGAAAGTTAGAACACCATGTTAACAAGATCAGAGAATTATTTCAGTACCTTGTCATATGTTGCAATGGATTCCTAGAGATCTAAATGCTGAACCTGATAGTTTACCTTGAAGGATGGGGCAGTAAGCTCTATTGTATAGCTGTGTAAATCTCCTCTCATGTACCTCCAAAGTTTGCTTTGTCTATTACCAATTAAAAATATAAAACATAAAAAGTTTCTTTCTCTTTGTTTGGGTTCATTCAATTAACCTCCAAAGTTTTAAGTGCAACTTCTACACAGACAGTACATTCTTATTGCAGCCTCAAGAGATAAGCGCCTGGTCCAGTAGCTCCAGTACAAGAATCGAGGCACTTGGTACATATTTCTAAAATACTAAAAGTGATACATCTCTAAATTACATATGAATGAGATCTACAGCTGATTCACTTGAAAGTTGACTAGATACCATTCCTTTTATGTCAAGAAGGAGAAATTCACACACATTCTTGAGTTCCCTAGCTATTTCTTGGTTAAGTAAAAGAAAGAGAACAAAACACAAAGATGTTCTTAAAATGCCAAGATATAAAAGAGAAATGGCAATGACGGGGCTAAAAAGAAATTCGATCCACTTTGACATAAGTTGATTCAAGCTTGCTACCCAACCATCACTGCCTCAGGAATTGCCTTTTAACAAATGTCAGGGATCAAAACTGTGCTAAGAAGCATAAAGGAAACTAAAGGCCGTCCCAAGATGCAAATGATTTGATATTAGGATCAAAACATTAAAAAAAAAAAGTAACTGATTTATATGTTGGCCCGTAAAGGTACAAGAGATAAATAATACACTACCAAGTACCAACTGAATTGATTACTATAAGGCAGTTGCAACTCGTCTAGTCTATTAAGCTTTTGACTCTTAAATTGCATTAAAATAGGTGAGAAGTTTCCCACAAGTCTGAAAACAATGGAAAGTGCATAAGTTAGCAATAAAAAAGACAGTACGACAGAACTCATATAAGAAAAAAACAACCATAAATCAGTATAATCTGTACAAGGGGAAAATTTACCTGTATGATGCCCTTCACACGCCATACGTTGTGCTTTAAAACTACAATATGCGAGTCATCTGGATGCAGAGAGTGCAACTCTTGTCTCACAGATTCTATGCCAGCATTGTGCTCTGCAGAGAGCTGGACAGCCAGCACCTCTCCGGTTGCCTTGACAAGCCTTCCTAAGACAACACGGGAATCTCCAAGGTTTGCAACATATAGGGTTCCCCCGCATATCACACCAACCAGGCAACAAGATCCAACAGCTGCAATTTGCGGCTTCATCGGCCACTGTTTTGTAACGACAGAGAGGAACCCTTCTTCTGTTGCCTGAAATGCCTTTCGTATTACATCCACTGACATGGACTGTTGCTCGGTGGTAAATCCTGCACAAAACATAAATTCGAGCTGAAGCATTAGAAAAGCGGCCATGTGATCTGCAAGCCCAAGACTACACCATGAACACAGCTATAGTAATAGTCACTCAATTGAAAGAAATGAACCGCGACGCTTGAAATTTGAAAGGCTAGATAACAAGGAACCAGAACAGAATCCATTGCGTACATGAAAGTCAATCAGTCATTTGATATCCCAACGGGGAGTGGAATTCTTACTTTTTAGGTGATGAAAGAGGTGATCATTGATGTAGCGTGAAGTCTCAGGGCCACCATGCCCGTCATATATCCCGACGAAAGTCCCATACGGTCCGGACTCTAGTGAGCTCAAAGAGCCTGATTCAATTTGACTCTGATCCTCGAGCAAATTGTTGGCCTGAACCACGGCCATTGAGAACTCGCCGTTCAAGTGCTGTCCAGTGTCTTTGTACCATAGAAGCCCATCTTGTCGACCCACAGCATCCGAGCTCGTGTGAGCATAACGATCCGACGATGACCGCCAACAGGCCCTCAGAAAGTTCATCAATCTCGATAACATACCTCATCTCACCCAAACCAACCTCCAATTTCTCCACATCCGAGAAGGATGTAACAGAAATCCAAACCCCCCTACAAAAAAGAAGTCGACCTACCTTCTGCTCCACTGCACAAGGTCAGAAAAAATGAATTTAAAGAAAAGCCGCATAACCAGAAATGAAGCTACCGCAAATTGAAGAAGTCGAAAACAATCGAGGACGAAAAGCAGAAAAAAAAATGAGGAAGAAGAAAAGGAAAACCCGCCTCTTTGGTTTGTTTCAGATAAACCCCATACGAACACAACAAAAAAGCCTGAAATCTAAGACCCACCTCTGCTTCTCGTCGAAATAGAAAAATGAAAATGAAAAAATAAGAATAGCGAACAGAGTCGAAACAGAAAGAGGCCAAATCTACCTTTACTTCCCCACTTTTCATAGGACAAGCGTTTGGTCAGCCATCTCGAATCGAGACGGTCTCGATACCCAAAATCAAAATCCCGTCTCCATTTTCACACTCCAGGCAAAACCTAAAAAACTAGAAATTGCTCACCCAAGAAAAAAAGGGTGGCAAAACCTAGAAATCAAAAATCCGAGAAACGCTTTAAATCCCAGAAATTACACATTTCCCGAAAACAAATAAATAGTACAGAAAAAGAATCGGACCTTATTCTTGGAGCTTTCTCCTTCCTTGGTCGACAGCTACTCGGTTCTACAGCTGGAGTCTATTGGGATCCGAAAGGAGAGAGGTCAATCCATGTGGTTACGAGAGCGTTAGATCTGTAGATCCATCGAATACAAATAGACGACGACTTCCTTTTCTTTCTCTTTTCGTTTCTTCTCTCTCTCTCTCTCTCCTGCTTTAATCTTTCGTTAGTGGAGAAATGGAGGAAGTAATGCACAGATTGAACAAGAGGGGGGGGGGGGGGCCTCAGGAAGAAAAAGAAAAAAAAAAATAGTTCTCGATCACTCTCTACCGATTGGGCAAAATGAAACTCTCGTTTCTCCCGGCAGACAAACCCATAAAAACCAACAAGGGAGAGCTCAAAGCCAGCAAAGCAGAGCGACTACTCTGGTCTCCATATAACGAGTCAGAGGCCAAGTTTGGGAGGTGCATAAAAATAAGTGTTTATTCGAGAATAAACAATTATTATAAGGCGGGACCATACCAATAAGTACTTATCACCGTTTGAGAAATAAATCAAGAATAATTGATTATTGTAAGAATAAGCACTTGGACAGTTGGACCAAGCTTAAAAGTAATTATTTGAAAAATAAGTGCTTGTTCATTGAATAAGTGTTTAGAAACAAGTGATTATAAGCATTTGATTAAAAAACACTTATTTTAAACTGGGATAATATAGGTATTTTCCAAATGATATAACGGGCAAAGATAGATCAAAAAGGAAATAAACACTTAAAAATAAGTCAAATAAATACTTATGGATGTTGTCTCAACCCAAAATAAGTACTTATTGAAATAATCATTTATTTTTAATCACTCTTAAACTTAGTCTTATTTGAGAAGCCCAAAATCCGAGCTTATAAATATTAATTCAATAATCACTAATTTCATTTTTTTTTATTTAACATGGTCCATCACATCATTTTAAAAATACCTATATTACCCTAGTGGAATCTGCTCCTCACACACTGTTAATCCCAATTCATGTTACCCCTATAAAAGTGCTTTTTCATCAAAGACATTAAACACTTATTTTTAAATGAGCAATCTTAGAGAGAGGGTTTTTTTATTAAAAAAAAAAAAGATTTGATTTTACAGCATCAGCCAGTTTGGCTACAGTGCTACCCAAGCACCAAGCCACCAACGGTCCGTTCAACGTGGGCTGCGTTTTCTTTTTCCAACGCCTTTTGATTCCCATACATAAAATTAAAACTGTGAAAATGGTTATTTTCAAGAGAAAAATAACCGTAAAAAATGGTATCCGCAGTTAATGCTAATGTGCGCCAAGATCAACTCTCAATGAGTGGCAATTAAATTCCAGAACCCACGCCTCATTATTAATTAAGTAAATTCATATATATGATGAGACGCTGAGAACGAGATGACACCTTTCCCATGGTCCCACCACAGAGTTCATATCTGCACCCCACAGCACATCCCAACCGTGCATTTCACAAGTGCTGTGGGGCACTTGTGGGGCGCAGATGTAAATTCCCCACAACGATAAGATTTTTTAAACATCTTTCAAGTTTCAACTACATCAGTTTATCCATGGGTTATTACAAAAAAGATGGTTTTTAAAACCGACTCAGAGACTGATCCGTCAGGGGTCTGGTTACCAGGTCAAACAGTCCAATCTTCAAATCGAACGGTTAGCTTGTTCTAACAAAAAAATTTAAAATTAAAAAAAAATGAAAAAATAAAAAATGGTCAAAACAGTCGAACGGTTTTAACGTTAACCCCTAAGTTAGCGGTTTGCTGACCAAAATCAACGGTTTTTGTAGAAAATTCAATTTTAGGGGAAAATGGAACCAGTTGCTTGACCATTTCC